GAAAGTGGGGTTGTCACTGGGTCACTCTGGGTCTAAGCCCAGACTCCCTGACATTAGGCTTGAGACTGAGAGTCATCTAATTTAGGTAGGCCTCAACTTAAAATTCTGTAAACAAACTGGATGCCTGACCCAGCTTGGAAGGAACCTCAGCTAACTTGTGTCCTTCCAGTTGGTCAGTGGTTTAGAGCAGGATGTACTGGAGGCCAAAGCAGGAGGGGTTGGTGCCTGCTGGCCATTCTTTACTCTCCATCTCTCACCTTCTTGTGAGGATACAGATGTTGGCACCGAGTTCAGGAGTCCTATCTGCCCAATGAACAACAGACCAGTGGCACACTTACCATTTGTAGAACTTGAGTATTGCTGGTACTTCACAGAGACAACACTTGTATGTGTGAATGGCCAGAGGACTGACTGCTGGGAAAACCAGCCGCAGATCCCTTCCCCTGAGAAACTGTCCCTGCTAGCACACTTATCTGTTCTCACAGACTTGCCCATGGGTGATGTCCCCATGGATGGAATGGCAGTGAGTGACCTGGGCCCCATAGTGCTGAGCTTGCTGAAGAATCCAGAAGAGTATGTAGGGCAGAATATTGGGCTCAGCACCTGCAAGCACACCGCAGAGGAGTATGCTGCCCTGCTCACCAGGCACATCGGCAAGACTGTACATCATGCGAAGGTGAGTTCCTCCCTCCCCAAAGCTGTGAAGCCCCAGATCTTGCAAGATGCCCCTAACTCCCAAAGGGATTATTGTTGTTGTTGTTTGCTTTTTAAGACAGGCAGGTGGATCTCTGTGAGTTCAAGGCTAGCCTGGTATACAGATTGAGTTCCAGGACAGCCAGGGCCACACAGATAAACCCTGTCTGCAGGGGTGGGGGTGGATAAATGTTGAAAAGTGTACTAGGTGACTTTGTGGCTTTAAGAGAGGTGGGACTAAGGCAAGGTTGTGGAGGACCTGAGGAGCTCAAGAGTTCACATTGGGTTTGGCAGAAAAAAAGGGATAGTTTTGGCTTTTGAACAAGGAAGTAATACAGCTGATTCCAGCTCTGAAAGACACTGATGGCTTTTATCTCATGACTTTGAAAGAATAGTCTTTAAACTGATCAAAGCCATGATTTCCATACCTGTCTATTTGGAAGTGTTCACGTGGCCTCATAGTAAGAGCCAACACAGCTATACCCTGGCTTTCCAAGACTTGGGAGGAAGCCAAGTCTACCTGGTATTACCAGGGCTGTGAAGGAGGTAAACATGTGGGCTCTTTGTTTCCAGACAACTCCTGAGGAATACGAGAAGCTTGGCTTCATGGGGGCCCGAGACTTGGCCAACATGTTCCGTTTCTATGCCCTAAAACCCGACCGGAACATTGATCTAACCCTGCAACTCAACCCCAAGGCCCAGACATTGGACCAGTGGTTGGAGCAGCACAAAGGGGACTTTGCACAGCTGGGACCTTGAAGCTCTCATCTGGGGAATGAGAGGTACAACTATCTTTTCTTTTGTGGTTGTTTTGTTTTTTTTGTTTTGTTTGCCCCCCCCACACACACACACAAATAAAAGCATTGTTCTCACAGATGGTTTCCCAAAAGAAAAGCCCTCTGTTTGTGGGAAGTGAGTTGGAATGGCAGCTGCATGAAAATGGGCCCTGATGGCATGAAAATGCCAATAGGAGGCACCACGTAGGCACAAGGGCTTATTTGGCCCTGATCAGTGTGCGTGCATGAGCCACAGGGGATCAGTGAGCAGAGCCTCAGCAGCCAGCAGCAGCAGTGCCTTTGACACCCAGCAGGCAGGGCTAGAGGCACTGAGGCCACCTGTGCATTTGTTCTGAATGAGGACAGGCAACTAATGCACAAGTCCAGGACCCTTGTCCTTTTCTCTCTCTTCACTGGAACTCTGGACAGGCGTGGCCAAACTAGAAATAACCTTCACAGGAGCTGAAAAGAGATAGGGGCTATGAAGATGGCTGAGTCAGTAAAGTACTTGCTGTGCAAGCATGAGGTGCCGAATTTGAGTCCTGGCACCCACTTATAAAACAGGCAGCTGTGGACCTATAATAGAAGGAAGTCTCTGGAGCCCACTGGCCCACTAGTCTTAACTTGAACCAGTGAGCACCAGACCTGCCTCACAAAATCAGGTAGGGAGTGATGAAAGGAGGGCATCCAACATCAGTTTCTGGCCTTCATGTTTACATGGGCATATTCACCTGCATGTGTGTAACATGTACACATGCATATACAAGCATACAAAAAGAGCAAACATGGCAGAGCTGTGGACCACTGTGGAGACGAGGTGTTGTTGCCTGTGGCTAAGACAAACATGATAGGTCTGCTAAGCCCTTCAGAGGAAGCCATGGCAAGTCTGAATTCCCACCTGTGTATGGTTAGTCTAACCACGGGCACACATCTTTTTTACTGTTCTTCCCTGACATGAGACTCCTCTACAGGAAAAGGAACAGCGATCCTAGACTCTTTTTAAAGATGTATTTATTATGTATACAGTACTCTATCCACATGTATCCCTGCAGACCAGAAGAGGGCAGCAGATCTCATTACAGATGGTTGTCAGCCACCATGTGGTTGCTCGGAACTGAATCAGGACCTCTGGAAGAGCAGTCAGTGTGCTCTTAACCTTCTCCAGCCTGATGCTAGACTCTTGACTGGGGCATGCCCTTGACAATTTACTGTGCCACACCTTAAAATATGGGGTGAACAGACAAGTTATACTGTCTTCCTTGAGGGAAGGTTTTTTTTTGGGGGGGGGGGGAGAGACAGGGTTTCTGTGTAGCACTGGCTATCCTGGAACTTGCTCTGTAGACCAGGCTGGCCTCAAACTCAGAGATCCACCTGCTTCTGCCTCCCCAGTACTGGGACTAAAAGTGCACCACCACCACCATCCCGGGGAAGGCCATGCAAAAAAGAAAAGGAAGGAAGGAAGGAAAGGGGAGGGAGGGAGAGAAAGAAAAAGACAAAAATGTTATAGACTTCAAGCTGCAAAGTACAGATGGAAATAAGTATCAAGTTGCTGGGGCATCAAAGGTTAGGGTTCTGAGTAAAAATGAGAGGTAAAGGCCCAAGGTTTCATCCACAGCACCAAAAGAATGAAAAGTTTAGGGAAAAGACCAATTAATCAGTGAGGGACAGCATTAGCTTCAGGGGTAATCACTATGCTGAGGTCTGTGGGGAAGGGCAGGCGCCTTCCCAGAAGTAGAAAGGAACAGATAGTAAGTACCAAGAGTAGACTTCTGAGCCCACTAGGTCAGGAGGCACAACAGGCTGTCTACATGTGCTGCTCTATGATGCTCCAGTAACCATAGTTAGAATCTCCTAGTCCTGGGAAAGCCTGCCAAAATCAAGGTACAGAGTGGACACGGAGCATCAGCCAGTTCCTCACCAACGAACGGCAGAATTAGGATCATACACTGCCCCTCCCCTGGTATTTACTTATCTGGTGCCCACCTACTAGGCTGTTGTGAAGGCATAGTCAACTCACTTGGGCAAAATAGTGCCTCACACTATTTACCCTAAAATATACTGCCACATAAGGCAAAATCCTACTAATCTCCACATGCCCTTCAGCTTGGTTTGTGTTCCTCTGAATGGAAGCCTCCATCGCAGAGCACAGTGGGAACACCCTAAATTTCTGCTTCCATTTCCCATATGATGCTCTAGCATTTTCAAGTAGACTATTTTGTACAATTCCAGCTCAGAGGATACAAAGAAGTCTAAAAACAAATGCTTCAGGAGCTGTGTGTAGAAATAAGCCCACCTAGGCCTGGTGCTGAGACTTTACTCTAGATGCTGCCTGGACCTGGCTGACTTCTTCAGAAAGAAACCTGCACCTTCCTGAGAAGACTGTCTAGCCCCATTATTGTTGCATCCCAGTGTCTAGTGGTATCTCACCCATACTGCATTCCCACAGCAGGCAGCCAACAAACATTTTACTGCAAAATAATATTGGTAGGCATACAAGTTAATATAATGTTACTCTTGAGTCTTTTTTACTCACAAGCTTTCCCCCAAACTCTTCCCCACCCAGTAAATCTTTCCATCTCTCCCTATGCTCATTTCAAAAGCCATTAAGGCTTTGCTGGAAGCCTGAACTAGTTAACCAAAACTAACTCTAACTCTCTCTCTCTCTCTCTCTCTCTCTCTCTCTCTATGTTTTGAGACAAGAGTTTTGCTGTGTAACCCTGGCTGGTCTGGAAATGCTAACTAACTAGACCTGACTACCCCTGCCTCAAGTTCTGGAATTAAAGGTATGCACCACCATACCCGGATAGCAATAAGCAAAAAAAAAAAAAAAAAAAAAAAAAAAATCAACCTGTGGGAATTGGGTCTCTCCTACATATGGGTCCCAGGGACTGAATTCAGATCATGAGGCTTGGTGGCAAGCACTTTTACCCAGAGTCATCTTGCTAGGTCCAAAAATTTTTAAGTTGGGGACTGGTGAGATGGCTCAGCAGTTAAGAGTATTTGCTGCTCTTGCAGAGGACCTGGGTTTGGTTTCTTGCACCCACATAGTAGCTAACAACCCTTTGTAACTTCAGCTCCAGAAGTTACGAGATCCTGCTTTTGTGTCAGTGGGTACCTTACATGTGTGGACCTATACATTTTTTTAATGTAACATAGGAAAATGCAGATGAGGGAATAGTTCAGTAATAGTGGTTCAACACCAGGTACTACCTTCACACAGGAGTTTCAGCTTGGGCTACATAGCAAAACAAAGACTGGAAAAGAGAAGATCAACAAAGGATACAGTGAGCACATGCATGTTTCTCAGCAGGACTCTCCAATCTACCAGGTTCAAGAGTTTGTTCACAGAGGAACATTGTCTCATGGCAAGGGCCTGTTCTGGAAATGGGAGTAGGAGATCTATATTGTCAGTGACTAGGTCCACCTTGTTGGCAGAGAGAGAAATCAGATGCTGCCAGCTTACTCCCCTGTTTCCCCTGCTGGGCCACCTGCAGAAGCTAGTTTGAATTCCCAAAGAAGAAATGACCACAGTTTTGGTTTTAAATATCTTTTGTACTAGATCATCTTATTTACATTGATACAGAATCACTTTACATTAAAGCAGACACTAAGAAATGCTTTACTTTGTAAATTAGAAAGGAAAAGAAAGAAACTACAGAGAAAAGTGTTCTTCATTAGGCTGTCTTACAGTAGCTCCAGAACCTTGGAACACAGAAACCGCAACATGCTACCAGCAGAGGCTGGAAATAGGTTGCTTTACACAGCGAAGAGTCTTCACCATGACACTGTGCTTTCCCCTCTGAACATTCACACAGGAAAAGACAATGATTCTTACCATTGAGTAATTTAAATACACTTTGGAAATCAAACGTCAGCAGCGGGAGAGGGGAGAACGGAGCCCTGGCTGGCAAAGCTCTGGGTCTCCAGAGGCTGAAGGCTGTCCCAGATGACCATGCTAACTTTGGTCAACAGGGCAGAAAACACCCCCACACCCAACTAGAACAATCTAATCAGCTGAGGTGAAGTGGACAGAGGGCCTGTGTTGCACAAGTGTGCCTCCCAGAGCCCTAGCACCCACTCTCCAGCTGCTTGGTACCTTCAATAAAACAAAAACAAACTGACTCCAAGGGGAGTGACAGATACCTCAGCAGAGCCTGTCAGGAAGGATGTGCTGCCCCTGGGTCCTAGAGAAGACCACATGTCAGGAAGGACGTATCTCAGAACCTCTATGAGGTTTGTTGAGAGGGAAATTAATCACAACGTGTGCAGCTTAAGGCTTCATTTTAAGCTTAAGCACGACCTTTAATTTTTTTTTAAGCTCTCTACTACATGCAATTCCAGATTATTTTTAGTGCTGCAAGAAGAGTCCAAGTGTTTTACACTGCCTGAGCTAGAAGCAAATCACCTAAGGTGGACAGGATATTTCCACCAGCCCGAAGGCCACACATCACCGCCTAGGGGCTATCAACATGACCTTCTATGCAGAGATGTGTCATCACGTAGTTTTGCAGTTGCTAGGTGGTTCACAGGGCTCTGTAGACAAGGCTCTGTGCTGCTGTTCTGGTATTCTCCTGTGTCAGATGCCCTGGCCATGGAGAGGGACTGCTGCTCCTGATCTAGTTTCCAGTCGACCGTTTTCCTGAGACAAGAAGACAAACAGTTACACCACATCTCAGAAGAACACATCGATGTGAGAAGGCTCTGTTAATCCCTGGAAAATGGCTGTGCTTCAAGGGTCAAGAGCCCCAGGACTTGGGGTGAGCATAAATGACAGTGTTTCTTCAGGCATAGAAAACAAGCACTCCTCCACAGCAGCCCCAGACTTGTACAGCACTACCCTGCCTGGGTACAACAGGTGCTAAAAGCAGTGGGAAGCAGAGGAGATCTGAGTTCTAGGCTTGGCTCCGCCACAATTTGCCTTCTAGACTGTGGGCAAGCTGGTTTCACCTCTGGGGGACAAGAGCTCCTGGGAAATGACCTAAGGAGGGCTATGAGGCAGCCCCAAATTCAACCCATCTAGGAAGGAATCTAAATTCAAATGAAGAGACTGGCCCCTGTTGCCTGCTCCACCGTGTGCTGGTTAAGTACCACATGCTCTGCTCTAAGCGATGAGAGAATGCCACATTTACTACATCTTTGACTGGCACCTCTCTTGACTTCTGGGGTAGGGCAGGGTGGGGTTCAGTGTTGGTTAAAATGACCAGAAGAGAGATTAATTCACAGAGGGAAACAGGGGAAGAAAGCTCACAGGTTTTCCTACCTCAGCATGGTATCAGGAAGTAAACATTTTCTTAAGTTTGGAAAGGAATCCCTCATTGTCCTCCCCAGCCTCTCGCCTATCCTTGCTTCCTGCGGAGCTATCCATGGTTCTGCCACCTGGGCACAAACAGTAGAAAGAACCGAGGTCAACCAAGATCACACACCTCCATGCAGCAAGTGCCAGCCCCACCTACCCATGCCTAGTTGCCCATGGGGCTGGCATTCAAGGAGCAGCCGGGGGCCACTCCAGGAACACAGGGGCCACTCTCGGGCTGGCAGGGGGATACCTAAAATATTAATATCAGACTGAAACAAATGGGACACTCAGCCTCAGGACACCACAACTCTCCTTGGAGTCACAGACCCATAAAAGGGGGAGGGGGAGGAGACTGACTGTAATCTGAAAATTAACAACAAAGCAACACTAAATGCCAGGAGGCCAAGCCACACAGCTCATCACCAGCACACTTGATGTGTACACATCACAGCCACATGTACACTGAAGCAATATGTTATCAAGTCCACCAAGAGACCCAGAGCCAGCCAGCAGGAAGTAGAATTGAGCTCAAACCCAGCCCAGACTTTTAACCATCAAACTACTGGCTACAAGATAAGGATTGAACCTCAAGAAAATATCCAATTTCTGAACCCACTGCCTATGTTCTACACATTAAAATGCCCAACATAACCAATGAGGGAGCTGCTCTTGCACTCTTGTACACCTCACATTGTCTCTCACAATTTGACATCTAACCCTGACTGCTGCAGGTAATGCACAGTAATGGCTGGGTTTTTAGGGCCAAGACTGAGATTACCTAACTGCACGAGAAGCTTGCCAACCTTGAAAGAGGAAGACAAACATTTGTTATGAGTTAAACTATACACTTACAACATTTTGCTTGCTTTAGCTTTTCCTTATTTATGACAAAGTCTCAGCACAAGCTGCGGTGGACTCAGTATAGCCCAGACTGGTCCTTCTGCTCCACTATGCCAAAGTATAGGCATGAGCCACCATGCTTGGTAACTTTTACACTTACCTATTTTGTGTGTGCATGTATGTGTGTGAGGGTCCATATATAGGTGCATGCAGCAGAGTATGTGTGGAGATGAGAGATCTAACCTGTAAGGTTAGTTCTGTCCTTCCATCAAGTAGGCTCCAGAGACCAAACTCAGACGGCCAGTGTTGCTAACAAGGAGGCTTAGTTGCTGAGACACCTCAACTGTCTTATAGAGCATGTTTTTAATGTGGCTGATACAGTCCCTTGTACAGCGTACAACCAATTAAGAGAGCCTAGTGTGGTGGTGCATACTTTTAATCCCAGCATTTGAGACACAAAAACAGGCAGATCTCTTTGAATTTGAGGCTAGCCTGGTCTATACAGTGAGTTCAGGCCAGCCAAGGCTACACAGCAAGGCCTTATTTCAAAATAAAATAAAGTAGTTCCAGCTTCCAACAGCTATCAGGTCTGAGTCAACTGAGGCTCTTCAGAGGCATGGCTCTAAGAACAAGGGTGGGGTGGGGTCTGCAGACTTGTGGAACACTTGTCTAACATAATAGCGAATACTGTAATTCTCTTCCTTTGCAAGGTTAACTGAAAGGGGAACCCATGATGCAGCTTGCATTAGGTTGTTACCCATGTATGAGACATTTCTGTAGTGTGAGTTTCTTGGGGGTCACTGACATTCCTGTAAGTAGCCCTTTTGGGCAACTAGGCATGGGTAGGTGGGGCTGGCACTTGCTGCATGGAGGTGTGTGATCTTGGTTGACCTCGGTTCTTTGGTTCTTTGGTAAGACACCCTTTTGGGTGTCTGGAAGTACACCCAAAAAATTCACTGGTTCTCTCAAACTAGACACGGGCAGAACTACTTTAGTCTGTCATTAGTTCCCTATCTGGGTTGAGCAGACATTTGTTCACTTACATTGCCTTAAGAAAAGTTCACACAACATATAGGTACAGCATAAACAGCAGGACCACAGCTCACTCTGTCTGAGCATATAGAGCTAGGGCGTGCCCTCTGAAAAGGAATGGTGTTCTGAGCAAAATGCTGAAAAAGATCCAGGCAATCAGGACTGGAGAGGTGTCTCAGCAGACAAGAGATTGCTGCTCTTGTAGAGGACCTGGATTTAGTTCCCAGCACCCACCTGAAAGCTTATAACCATTTCTAACTCCAGTTCCAGGGAATTCAATGACTTCTTATGGTCTCCATGGGTACCAGGCAAGCACATGATAACAAGTCATACGTGCATGCAGAACACATTAAAAAAATACACACACATACACACACATAAGGGGCTGGAAAGATGGCTCAGAGGTTAAGAGCAGTGGCTGCTCTTCTAGAGGTCCTGAGTTCAATTCCCAGCAACTACATGGTGGCTCACAACCATCTGTAATGAGACCTGGTGGCCTCTTCTGGCATGCAGGCAGATATGCAGGCAAAATGCTACATATATAATAACTACGCATGTAAAATTACACATGTAAAAAATTAATTAATCTTTAAGAAAAAGGAAAAACGCTTAAAAAAGAATATGGATACCTAGGTAGAGGTGTAACATGCTTTTAATCCCAGCACTAGGAAGGCAGAGGCAAGAGGATCTGAGTTTGAGGCCAGCCTGGTCTACAGAGTGAGTTCCAGGGCAGCGAGGGAAACACAGAGAAACCCTGTCTCAAAAAACCACAAGTAGAAAAAAACAATATCTGGGTAATCAAAACTAGTAGGGTACATCTGAGCTCTAGGCCTTCTTCACACTGCTCACTCTGTGCATAACACTTCCTGCCTGGAGGCCCAGAGGCTAGGTATGCCCTGCTTCAATTCTGAGCACTCCCTTTTCTAATATAGAGAGGTCTATGTAACATAAATGACTCTTTTTAACACATCTATAAATCATAGGCTTCCCATCCCTCCAGAGTCTCTAAGACAAAAAGAACAGGAGATTTGCATGTCATATCTTTGGTAAATAGATGGCAAAGTTAGTGTGTAAACACTGTAAGTTACCTCTGATGGCACTTCTAATACATGACAGGTACCACACCACTGGCGTTACCACTTTATCTCAAATTGCTTAGACACACTACATGTTTTGTTTTTTTGAGACAAGTCTCATGTAGCCCAGGCCTGCCTGGAACTCATTATGTAGTGGAGGATGACCTAGAACTCTTGATTCTCCTGCTTTAATTTCTCAAGTGCCTGGGTGACAGGGTTAAGCCACCTTGCTCACATAAGTAGTGCTATTGTTACTCCCAACTTAGAGAGAAAATAGAGGTTCTGAGAGGTAGTTTGTCTGAGGCTTCACAGTTGACGGTGACAAAGACCATGAACCATCTCACCACTAAACCTAGGCTCTGAGTGGGGCACAAAAACACACACTGACTGCCACCCTTTTCTCCCCAAATTCTGCTCTTTTTTTTCTGAGACAGGGTTTGTCTGTGTAGCCCTGGGTGTCCTGGAACTCAGAGATCCTCCTACCTCTGCCTCCAAAGTCCTGGGCTTAAAGGTATGCACCACCCCAAGGCTTAATTTATTATTTCATGCATGAAAATAATGTATCTTGATCATATCCACCCCCTAGTCTCCCCTCCAATATTCCCCACGAACCCCCAGCACAAAGACTTTGAAATTCTGAATTGCATGTTGGTGACCAGTTCTGAGTACTGAACAATGGCTGTACAAACCAGCTGTACAAATACACTATTTTCTCTCTCAGACTGCTATCTGAGGGCTAACTGGGGCAGGAGGAGACAGGATATATGTTAGATGCCTAGAACACAAATGTGAGCCCAAGGCTGCTGTTGCTATTTCTTTTGAGGCAGGGCGACCTTGAACTCCCAATTCTTCTGCATCCCTTCATGTCACACATCTAGCTAGGGAATGCAAACAACTTCTAGTAAAAATCCTAGTTTCCCTACCACTCAGGAGTCTCAGGCAGAATGGTCTTGAATTCCAGACTAGTCTCAGCAACATAGCAAGGCTGTCTTATAGACAAAACCAAACTAAAACAACCAGCCGGATAATAGCCCCAATCACCAAACTAAAACAAAAACCCCTACAATTTTGTTAAATGTCTGCAATAAGAGAGATTTTTGGTCTAGAAAAAACTGACTGTTGGCAAACGGGTCTAGAAATGGGTTGGTTATATACACTGCAGCACTTCTACAAGTGGGTTCTAAGAGAAATTTTCCTCACAGCCTAAGGAGAGGCTTACTCAAACCCAGGTGACAAAGTTGTGTTTATGTGTTTGTTTGTTTTGTTAGGGGTGTTGAGACACAGTCTCACTATGTAACCTTGGATTGCCTGGAACTCACTATATAAACCAGGCTGGCATTGGATTTCTGGTAATTCTCTGGCCTCTGCCTCTTGAGTGTAGGGATTTACAGTGTGTAAAACAATGCCCAGCTAAACCATGTGCATGTGGAGGTCAGGACAACTTGGTAGGAACTGGTCTTCTTCCACTAAGGGGATTCCAGGGCTCAGCTCAGTTCATCAGGCCCTCTTTGTATTATTTTGTTAGTGTGGGGGTGGTTTCATGTGTCTTAAGGTAGCCTTTAACTCTTGATCTTTTGGTCCTCTTGCTTGCACCTCCCAAATGTTGGGGTTACAGGTGTGTACTACCACACCTGTTGATTGTGGTACTGAAGACTAAATCCAAGCAGGGCCTCAGGCATGCTAGTCAAGCACTTCATCAACTGAGCCATTTTATAAGATCATACCTGGGAGTCAAATTCCCAGTGGGATGCAATTTTGAAAACAATGACAACAGGTTAATAGACTAAAAATAGTGCCGGTGGTGGTGGTGCAATCCCAGCCATGGGATTGGGAGGCAGAGGCAGGCAAATCTCTGAGTTCAAGGCCAGCCTGGTCTACAGCATGAGCTCTAGGACAGCCAGGGTTGTTATATAGAGAACTCTTGTCTCAGAAAACAAACAATATATTATCAACATTCTGCCATGGGGAAATGCCCATGCCCCAACCTGAGCCCAGTGGGCAAGAGAGAAAAGCAGTTGTGTGCAGAACAAATCTCACATATGAGATCTTAGGACATGCCAGGAAGAAGTTACAGGTACATAATGAGAGTTCTATGGAACAAATACTCCCACTTTCTATTTAGTTTAAAAGATAAACAAAAGAGCTCATATGGTGGCACAAACCTTAATTTCAGCTCTCACAAGGCTAAGCAATGGGATATCAAGTTAGAAGCCAAGGCCATGTCAAACAAATAAAAATGAATAAGAACAAAGAAAGAAGTATATGTATGTTTTTACCTTTCCTTCTCCTAAAATATACTTGATATTTGTTATCATTGTGTATAGTTTTTATATCAGGCTTAAAACCTCCTTCTTTAGACAAAAAAGGGAAATTGTAGTGGCATCTTGCCTTGCCAGTGAACCCTTTGGGCATGGTTCCAGGTGCAGAAGTGACCCATTAAGATAGAGAAGGGGGTGGCTCTCATGCTTGGGTTCTGGAGAGCATTGGAAGGGCAGTTCTTCCCTAATAAACACCTATATATCATTTATCTTGGGTCTGGTGAACTCATTTAACACCCCCCCTTCCATATGTGTTTATGTCATCTATCCAACATTAAAATAAATGCCACTTGCTGTTTGGTCAAGCTATAGACAGGAAAGGCTGCTGGGGTTTCCATGTCCACTACTGTCTTCTTTCTCAGAACTCATCCCCCTCTACCCTGATGGAAAAGCTGCCCCAGGTCTGAGTACCCTATGTGAATTACCATACATTAATCTAAGGTCATTCCAGATCTGAGAACTCATCCAAGTTCCCACAAAAACAAAATGATGCAATGTGGTAGAAACATGTGCAGTCTGGGCACAGCCTGCCCTGCCCTGCCCTGCCCTGTCCCAGTCAACAGAAGCCTCACCTGAAATACAGCCACAGGAGCCACAGTAAAGCCTCGGCCCAGACATCAAAACCACTTGTGTTCACAGAGCACAACATCTGAGCTTGGGTAACAAATTTGTTCACTGAATCAGGAGATCAAAGCTTTGTCCTTTGACAGGATTTTTACATTGTCATTACCATTGTTTACTTTGGAATCCTGGTGAAGTGTTTGAGGTCAGGAAGGCACAGATATGTCCAAATGCTCTCACTCTTAAACTGCTCCAAGAACTTTGGAGGGAAGTGCCCAACTTCACAAGGCAAATGGCAGAACCAAGGCTAGAACTCAGAACAGCTCTGAGATAGAGCTGCCGGGCAGGAGGCAACCCTGTGCTTTCTGGGCACAGGCATGCAGTCAAAGAGAAGCTTCAAGAGTATGTTTACACTCCCACAAATCACCTCTTCTAAGGACATTTTTTGGGGCCCATGAAAACTCAGCTAGAAATCAAACATGCTTTGAATTGTCCGTCAACCCTTCAGAGACTCAGAGGTCCCTTATGTTACCATGTTACTCCCAGGCCTCTTACCAGTGCTTGTTTGGGTGACACCATTCACTGTCCCCTCCACATCAGTCTCATCCTCGGCATAGCTCAGGATCAGATTCTGCTGCCTACTGGTTAGCCTCCTGTGGACCAAGAACAGTTAGTGGCCAACCACTTCCTCCAGGCAGCCCTTGAAAGGACACAATGAAACTAAGTTTCTGACTCAGGCAAAGTACACACAAACCTAGTGATGAGGGTCCAAGGGCCACATGTCAGAGCTTCTCTCTAAAACTGAGTACTTTCAACTGTCATTACCTACACACTTATAGGGTGGGGCTAGGGCCTCCACACTCTTTGTGTGTCTATGAGCAGCAGGTAAGAAAGTAATCTCACAAAAGACACAAGGGCTAGAACTGGCTCCCCAGGTGGAGGATCAGGGCACACCTCGTGCTGTGTGCCACTCTACCCAGAACACATCGGGAGTTTGGCATCCATGTGTCATTCTTTTTATACTTCCACAACTCAATGAAGCCAACCTGCTATATCCCCTGCTCAGATGGGAAACAAGCTGAACAAAACTGACTTCAAGGAAGAAAAATCCCTGCCCAAGCCAAGAGCTCAAAGGGCAGCTGAACAGCTGGGTGCTGGGCCTGGCAAGTAAAAGGCTCAAAGGGTGCCTGTTGATTGCGTCTGTGTTTATGGGGTCGGGAAGTCTTGGCCATAGTCTTAGTGAACACTTACTTTGGAACTCTGATCTTGATGTGAATGTAGTGGTCACCATAGCCATAGCTATTAATCCGGGGGATGCCTTTCCCAGTCAAGCGAATCTTCTGGTCTGTCTGAATCCCAGCAGGGATCTATTGAAAAAGGAATACACTGATGTTCCCCAGTCCCCACTGTCCAAAAATAAATCTCTCACTACACAGAGAAAGGTGTCTTCAATAAAGGATTTGCACCGAGAGGTCAGAACAAGCCAGCCACACAGTTGTGGGACAGCTGAGGCCATAAAACAGATGTGAGGAGTGAAGCAAAAGATGTAGATGGTGGTGCACGCCTTTAATCCCAGCACTCGGGAGGTAGAGGCAGGTATCTCTGCGAGTTTGAGACCAGCCTGGTCTACAAGAGCTGGTTCCAGGACAGCTTCCAAAGCCACAGAGAAAACCTGTCTACAAAAACCAAAAAAAAAAAAAAAAAAAAAAAAAGACTTGGGAGAAAAAAGTTGAATGCAGGTATGAAACCAAGCTTGCTTCATTACTCTCAGGGGCTGGACAGCAAGGACCCTGCAGAAGCAAGCAGAGGCAGTCTCCAGATGGAGGTGGGAGTATCTGCCCATAGTGACCACTGCCATGGCCTAAGTCAAACTCAGAGTCCCCGAACCCACAGGCCGGAGAAGGTACTGAGGGCAAATACAGTGGTATAAGGGTGGGCATAGGAAGCTGTCCACTACAGCTGCAATTCAAACTAGAGGTGGTCTGGGGACTGGAGAGATGGCCAAGTGGTTAACAGCACCAGCTGTTCTTCCAAAGGACCTGGGTTCAATTCCCAACATCCATATGGCAGTTCACAACTGTCTATAGCTCCAATTTCAGGGGATCTGGCATCCTCATATCCACAAACATGAAAGCAAAACACCAATGCACACAAAAAAAAAATAAGTAAAGGGGGTGGAGACATAGCTCAGAGGTTAAGAGCACTGGCTGTTCTTCCAGAGTTCCTGAGTTCAATTCTTGGCAATCACATGGTGGCTCTCACAATGATCTATAATGAGGTTCGGTGCCCTCTTATGGCATGTAGGCATACATGCCAGAACATTGTATACATAATAAATAAGTAAATCTAAAAAAGAAAAAAAAAGTAAATCTTTAAAACAAACAAACAAAAAGACAGCCAGGTGGTGGTTAGTCTCTGTGAGTTCAAGTCCAGAAACTGTGTCTCAAAAAAAACCAAATAATCCCCCCAAAAAGTAGAGGTGCTCAATAGATTAAGACATAGCCCCAAAGATACCTGCTCCCCAAGACTAACCAGAGGTGAGACTATGAATAAAGGGTACCCACTGCAGTACATAACTCATGCCCTCAGTTCCTGGACCCTGACCAGTGGTAAGAGGAGACACAGACCAAGAACCATTGCCAACAGTAAACTGAAAGGCCTGGAGTTGTAATTACTACTCAAGGAACAGCCTGAAACTCTTAAGTGCCACAGGCTCCAATGTCTCTTCTACTCTTAGAATCCCTGACAGGCTGGAAACCTCAGCTATTTCCCATCTTATGCATGTTATCACAGCACATGGAATGCTGAGGCAATGGGATTATTACAAGTTCAAGATCAGCTGAGGGTACATAAAAAGCATTAGTCTCTAAGAAGAAAGGAAGGAAGGAAGGATAAGAGAGAAAGGTGCCAGCAAACAAAGACAGCAGTCCTCATGACCTCTTACCGTCACATTGATTGTCTCATACAAGCCCTGGGCTTTGGCTGTACCCCCAAGAACAGCTTGAGCTATTGAAATAAAGAGGTCGGAGTGGATGTCTGCACCGTCCCTCCGGAACACAGGGCTTTTCTGCACCTAATACCAAAGAGAAGACAAGTGTGACCACTATGGAAGTGCTACCTGAGGCTGGATGTAAGCCACGTGTCTTGCCAGACCTGAGCTTGGGGCCCGACACACTTTAGCCCCTTTGCACCTAAATAAGACATAGCACAGGAAGACCTATACCTCAGCAGTGGGAGACAGCACCCCAAGGCTCTGGAGGGACAGCCTCCATGCACATTGCACAGCAGAGCACTGGCTAGACTTCCTCAGACTCCATCACAACCTTTCAACTACAAACGGAAATAAGAATGCAATTTAGCATTCTAATTTTCCCATGAATCTTATCTAATTAGAAAAATTATTACCAATACATCTACAAAGATAAAAATGTCAAGTATGAGGATCCACAACACTCATGTAAAAGCCGGGCATGGTAGTACACATTTGTAGCCCCAGCCACTGCTCTCTCTCAAGTTCTCTCTCTCTCTCTCCTCCCTCCTACCCCTCCCTCCATGAACAGGTAGATCTCTTGTACTCACTAGCCAAAAAGCTTAGATGAATCAATGAGCTCCAGCTTCAGTAAGAAACTATCTCAAATAATAAGTGAGAGAGGAATCAGAAGACAACAGATATCAATCTCTGTCCTCTATCTTCATGGACACACATGTATTCACCCATAAAATCTTTCATATGGTCAAATAATTTAAGTCAGGACAAAGGGCCAGCACTAGAATTCATTTGACTTTACACTATTTTTCATATCTCAAAGATAGTCCCTGCCCTTGATTTCTTCTGCCCTTTTCCTTCCCTCTATTATTAAATAAAAAAAGTAGCTGAATCCTCTACTATCTTCCTGCTTTCTGCCTTTATGTGGCTTTCCATTTTATTCTATTTACTTATTTATTTTTGTGGTGCTGGGGATAGAACACAGGGCCTTGCATATCATCAGTAACTTCAACTGTAGCCCAGCAACTACCTTCATTTTTGATTTCTCAGTTTAGAGGATTCACTCTTCATGCTATTTTTATGTACTGTGCTGTCTCTGAGAGATGATCTCACAATAGCCCAGGTAGGCTCCAAATTCATGGAATTTCATAAACCTATGCCTCAGCCTTCCATACAGTGGTACTCCAGGGAAGTGTCACTATACCCAGCTTTGCTATTCGGTTTATTTTTATTATTTGGAGGAGGGAGGATGTTTTTTGAGACAGGAGATCTTCAAGCTAGGCTGGCTTTCAATTCTCTGTGAGGCTAAGGATGACTTTAAACTTCTGATCTTCCAGTTTCTACCTCCCAAGTACTGGGATTACAGGAGTAATCCCAACATGGCCAGTTTTATTCAGTGTTGATGATTAAATCCTGAACCTTGTGCACGAAAGGCACTTTACCTACAGTCTGAGTCTTATTCCTAGTGTTCATCTTTAGTCTTGTTTTTAAAGATAGAGTTTTGGAAGGGCAGGCAAGAGAGACGGCTCAGTGGTTAAGAACATATACTGCTCTTTCAGAAGCCTTGAATTCAATTCCCAACACTCATGTTACCTGGCTCATAACCATCTGTAACTCCAGCTTTAAGGAATCTGACAACTCTGGCCCCCTGAAACACCTGAATTCATGTGTATATTCCCAGACACACATAAAAATAAATAAATATTTAAAAAAGGACAGCCTAGACTGGTCTTGAACTCATGTTCCTCCTGTCTCCACATTCCAAGTGCTAAAATTACAGGCATGTACCACTACACCTCATACGATTCAAGTAATGAACTATATCACATACAGAAAAAGGCAAAGTAGCAGGGCAACAGTGGCACACACCTTTAATCCCAGCACTCCAGAAGCAGAGGCAGGAAGATCGGTGTGCAAAGCCAGCCTGGAAAAAAAAAAAAAAAAAAAGGAAGAAAGAAAGAAAGAAAAGTAAATATAGCAAACAGCACACCCATAAGCAAGCTGACAGAACTAAAACATCACAAACTTGCTGGATCCAACATTCTAGAGGCTAAGACAGGATGGTCATGAGTTCCAGACCAGCCTGAGCAACACAAGGAGAGCCTGGCTCAAAAAGGGTGGTAAAGAAAAATTAGAAATATAACTATTTACGGTTCTCAGTTAACCATTACCCTGAAATTGGCATTTATCAACCCAACAGGCTTATCTTTATTTTTACTGTGTCTTTCTACATCCTTGAACAGCACATAATCAATCTCACATATTCCACAACACTATGCAGACAGTCTCTTGTACTTTACAGCCTGTAACAATCTGCTTTCCTCCCCTGTGTTGATGACAAAGTACCTCATGTTCACTGTGGTTCTTTCCTTCTGACAGATTGAAAATGTTCTGCTATATAGCAGTTTGATGACTTCTTTTTTACAAATACCAGGTTTGTCACCAGTGTCTTGCTATTAAACAGGGCTGTCATATACGACCCTTACCCAAAACATATTACAGTTACATGCGTTTTTCTCAGATACATACCTAGAGTCCAAGTCTTTTTGTTACCAGAGAAAACTATTTTTGGGGTGAAGGGTGTGAGCACTTTCCTAACATGCAGAAAGATGTGTATTTAATTTCTGGCATTGTTAAATAAACAAATAAGACTATACCATTATAATTTGATCTCTGGCTGGGTATGGTAGCATATGTCTTTAATCCCAGTACTCAGAGGAGGCAGAAGCAGGCAGATCCTGAATTCAAGGCCAGCTTGGTACACAGAACAATTTCAAGGACAGTCAGGACTACACAGAGAAACCGTAAGTTTCAAAAAAACCAAACAATTAAAAGGTTTTTAAAAAGGTTTCGCTTTTCAGGTGACAGAGGCAGGTGGATCTCTGTGAGTACAAGGCCAGCCTGGCCTACAGAATAAGTTCCTGGACAGCCTCCAAAGCTATAGAGAAACCCTGAAACAAAACAAACAAACAAGAAAGCACACACCTACACAGATGTTCTGGGGTTCGTGTCCTATGTTTCTTTTTTCCTTCCCCCCCCCAAAATAGAGTTTCTCTGTGTAGCCCTGGCTGTCCTGGAATTCACTCTGTAGGCCAGGCTGGTCTCAAACTCACAAGAGATCCACCTGCCTCTGCCTCGAAAGTGCTGGGATTAACAGCCTAAGGGCATGCACTACCACCAGCCAGCTGTGTTTCTAACTTGTCAAGGTTGTGAGGAGCTTTATGCTCTGTGTCTAGACATGAAAATAACCACGCCGAGAAGCCTTTCTTGAACTTGGAACAGTGACACCTTACTGCAATGAGCAATCTCAGCTGTACCCACTCTAAGAACAAGGACCCAGCAGAAGCTGACAGGCAAGCACCTACCCTGAATGTGACAAAAATTTCTCGTTTTCCCACAGGCATCCTTACAGTCTGACCATCTTCAACTCCTAGGAGAACAAAAGTTCCGAACAGCAGTTATGGTAGGGCATCCCACAGCAATGTCTACCCAGGAAACCTACTTGACCAGGTTTCTTGCCTTATTTTGGAGATGTGGTCTCACCATGTATCTCAGGCTGACTCAAACTTGTGCTCCTCCTACTTAGCCTCCTGAGTACTAGACTCAACAGGTGTCATCACATAACTAGCTTGTCTCCTGTTAAAAGCAGTCCTCACTTCATGAAGACAGAGAACAGGACACTGGAACAGGAGCTGCAGCACCCCAAGGTAGGAGCAGAGTGGGCACATGCACTGTAAGGATGACTGGTATAAAGGAAGACTGTAACAGATTCTAGCTCCTCCTCCAACCGGGAGACCCAGGGCTTTAAGTCTAGCTTTGCAATCAGGTAGACAACAGGGAACAAATAACAGAGCTGGCCTATCTCCTTCCTGGGCAGTGGCCCACCTGCAGGCACAGGGATTGTCACTCGCTTCTTCTGCTTGGCTTGTCCTGCTCCTCTGCAGACTACACAAGGATTTGTGAGGATGGAGCCTCGGCCACCACATCTCCGACATGTAGAACGCATCACAAAAGGCCCTGTATTGATAGTTTCCTGAGGAGAAGAAGGAAAACGCTCAACATGCAGGGACATTGTTTTATTAAAAAAAAAAAAAAAAAAAAGTTTATATCCAGGTTAAGTGGCACAGGTCTATGGTCCCAACATATGGGGGGAGAGGCAGGAGATCAGGAGTTCAAGGCCAGCCTTAGCTACATAGTGAGTTTGAAGCTAGCCTGGGTTACATGAGACTCTGCCCACCCTCCATCCCCAATGAGAGGGGTGGGTGTGGATAATAAAAGTAAACTATTATATATATATGAAACTTTCAAAGAATGGTAACTTTTTTTTGTTTGAGTTTTATTTATTTGTTTGTTTTGGGTTTTTGTTTTTCAAGACAGGGTTTCTCTGTGTAGCTTTGGAGCCTCTCCTAGAACTAGCTCTGTAGAACAGGTTGGCCTCAAACTCACAGAGATCCACCTGCCTCTGCTTCCTGAATACTCAGGCTAAAGGCCCAGCTTTTGTTTGTTTTTTGAGATAGTGTTTTTTGTGTGTAGGTCTGGCTGTCCTGGAATTTGCTTTGTAGACCAGGCTGGCCTACAACTCACTGGGATCCACCTGTCTCCTGAGTGCTGGGATTAAAGGTGTGTGCCACCACCTGCCAGCAATAATCTCAAATTTTAAGTGAGACAAGGGTGTGAAGGAGGGAGGGGGCAAGGATGGGCTTCTCGAATGTGTGTGCTACCCTAAAACACTGCCTAAGAAAACAGGTACAGGTGCTCACACTTCGAATTTTAACGTTTTTGGGTGGAGGAAGAGGGATATCTCATATAGCCTAGGCTAGACTCAAACTTGTTATGTAGTAGAAGATAAACTTGAACTTCTGATGTTTCTGACTCTACCTACTAAGTGCTGGGAGTACAGGTATATACTACCATACTCAGTTCTGAAGTCAAAACTTTTAAGTAAACTTACATTATCATTGTGATTGGCTTTTTCTGGCCATCCCCCATGTATATGTGTAAATGTGCATGTGCTGGGAACTGAATTCAAGGCTTTAGCTGGGCATGATGGGTCACATTTGTTTTCATAGCATTAATGAGGCTGACAAAGACTGCCTCATGTTCAGTCAGTCTGAGCTCTATATTGAGTTCCAACCAACCTAGGATAGAGTTAAACCCTATCTCAAACAAAACAAACTATGAATTCTGGTTTTGAGCATTCCAAGAACATGCTCACCAATTAGAAATAGCCCCAAGAACTCTAAATATGAAATGTCTGTATATAATACAGAAGATAAATTCTGAATCTGAAACTAATATGGTCTGTATATCAAATCTCTGGCCAGCCAGAACTACACATCAAGGCTAAATAAAATAAAAATAGGCAGTGATGGCCCATGACTTTAATTCCAGCACTCAGAGGTAGAAACAGGCAGATGTCTGTTGAGACCAGTCTGATCTACAGAGCTAGTTCCAGGAGAGCCAAGGATACACAGAGAAATTGTCTCAAAAAACAAAATAAAAACAAACAAACAAAAAAAAAAACCCAACAAATGCCCCAATATGTAGCATGGACTAGGGAGATGGCACAAAAGGTAAAGGCACTTGCCACCAAGGCTAATGACTTGAGTTCAAACACTGGGTCTTACATGATGGAAGAGAACCAACTCCAATAAGTTGTCCTTTGATTACTACATATGGGCGATGGTATAAACGCACATACAATAAACATAACAATAAAAAATATTTTTAAAAATTATAACCAGGTATGATGACATTCTTGTAATCCTAGCACTTAAGAGACTGATGCTAAAAATCCACCTGGGTTAAAGATTAAAACCCTATCCTTCCTCTAATCTCCATTCCCTCATCCCCCACCGGAAAAAAAAAAAAAACTAATGTGGAATGCTAGCACTTGGTAGAGGAAGGAGTATTACAGGTTCAGGGTCATCCTCAGCTTGAGTTGGCAGTACAGCACCCAGCCTAAACCCCAGGAATAGCTACATAATGTATCTTCTGGAACAGAAAAAGGAATTGTTGGAATAACACAAGAAGATGGGTAACGAGAGGGAAACATTATCAAGAGGCATAGGGGTAGCCATGAAGTAGCCTTACCATGCCGGAGCCTCCACAATAGTGGCAATGTTGCACTTTGGTTCCAGGCTCATTCCCCTTGCCGTCACAGCGCTCACAGGTGTCCATGATATTCACAGTGAACTCCTTGTTGACACCCTTGGCAGCTTGATTGAATGTCAATTCCATGATGTACTAAAAAATGAGGCATGTCCTGTCACTCTGCTGTTTAGGACAGGAGGGCACTGGCCAGTACCTGCAGTTACTCCATAACTACCAAACATGATTATGTACACTCTGCCAGGTAAGCATGGGGTCTATTTACTTAGCTGACCCAGCTTTACACATACAAACTTTAAAATGTATTAAGTGAAAATTTACTCCAGCTGGAATAATGCCTGCATGTAGTACCTGCTTTGGCCTAGATCGGAATATCTCCCAAAAGCACAAGGCTTGGCTTCCATCTTACTGTGGTGTCTGGGAGATAGAGGGATCTTGAAGACATTAAGAGTCTGGTGGGAGGTTTTATGTCACTGGAAATTTGTCCAGTCTGCCCTCTTTTCCTTCATAACCAAGATCAGATAGATGAGGAACTTTACCACACTCCCTGACAACATATACTAATTTACAACAGGCCCCGCAACAGTGAGGTCAGCAGACCGTTCACATTTCTAAAACCATAAGCTAAAAGAAAACTTTTCACTTTGTTTTTTATCTTGCCTACATGTATATGCATCACATGTGTGCCTAGTACCCAAGGAGAAGAGGAAATAGGTTCCCCTGGAACTGGAACTACAGACAGTTTTTCAACACCATGAGGGTGCTAGGAACTGAACTTAGGTCATCTGCAAGAGAGACTCTTAATTGCTGAGCCATCTCCTCAGCCTCACTTTCCACTTTTTGAGTTGTCTCAGGTATTTTCTTACAATAACAGAATGAAAATTAGAACAATACTTACAAAAAGCTTAAATGACTCATAATTTTGATTTAGATCATGGGACATTTATTTCTATTGCCTCCTCAACCCTGACAATGTCTCATTAGGATGGAGCTCTGAAGATTTCGTCAGCAGTATCTTCCTGCTGGACTGAGCTTTCCTAGAATAACAGGGAATAATCTAGAGCATTCTCAACCTTTCTAATGCTGTACCCTTTAACACAGTTCCTCATGTTGTGGTGATCCCCAACCATAAAATTATTTCATTGCCACTCCATGATTGTAACTTTGCTACTGTTTTGAATCAGAAAGTAAATATCTGAGGCAAACCCAAAGGGGTTGCAACCTACAGGTTGAGAGCTGCTGCTTTAGATAAATTACTCTGCTATGGATTCTGATGGCCTTCGGTTCTGCCTGATTAAACAGCTATTAATAACATAATATCACATACATTCATTATTACATAGAACATTTTTCAAATATCCCTAACTTTCTGCCAAATGGCTGCCTCTGAATCATTCCATTGCCTTTCTGAGAAATAGAAACTAAAATTGGGTCTCACTTAAGCTTAAAAGTTGACCGTTTAAAATAAGTTACACTGTGCATGATGACATGTCTTTAATTCCGGTACCTGGGAGGCTGAGGTAGGCAGATTTCTGTGAGTTCAAGGTTGAGTTCATAGTGACTTCTACCATAAGCAGGGCTATGTGAGACCTTCCTCAAAAATACAAAAATAAGTTACAAGAAAACTTACTTCCTGAGGCTGATCAAACACAGTCTGGAAATCTCCAAAAGGAGATGATGAGAACTCCCCAAAGATCTTCCTGAACAGCTCCTCGGGGTCAACAGAGGGACCTCCTCTCCAGTAGCTCTGCCCAGAGCTGCTGGCCCCAGAATCAAAACCAGCAGAGCCATAAGCATCGTACTGCTTCCTCTTTACTTCATCACTCAGCACCTACGGTGGAAATGACACAGAAATCAGGCATTGCTGAGTCTTCTAAGGCCCAGAACACAGAAAACATCTCATACCAAGTAAGTCTTTCACATTTACTAAGTATGCAAAACATTCCACAAAAGCCAGGCATAGTGGTGAATGCCTGTAATCCCATCAATCAGAAGACTAAAGCAGGGAGAGATTAGTTTGAAGACAGCCCAGGCAGCACAGTGATACTGTTTCAACGGAAAACCAATATTAGAGCTCAGTGGTAGAGTATTTGTTAAGCATACACACAGCCCTGGGTTCAGTCCTCAGGACCATAAAAACAGAAGAAAAAAAAAGTAAAAATTGGTCAGATAGTGGTGTTACGTATCTTTAACCCCAGCACTCAGGAGGCAGAGGCAGGCAGATCTCTCAGTTTGAGGCCAGTCTGGTCTAGTGTGAGTTCTAGGACAGCCAGGGCTACACAGAAAAATCTGTCTCTCAAAAACTAGAAAAAAAAAAAAAAAAAAAAAAAAAAAGGTTAAAAATTAGTCATCAAACACACCTTTCAGGGTATGATAGTTAATTCTGTCAACTTCACTGGTTTAAGGAATTCCTAGAAAACTGGCAAACTATACTTGTTTTTTCATTTTGTTTTTTGAGACAGGGTTTCTTTCTCTGTGTTAACTGTGGCTACCCTGGAACTCCTTCTATAGTCCAGGCTGGACTCAAACTGAGAGATCCACCGGTCTGCCTCCCCAAGTGAGGGTATGAAAGCTGAGTACTGCCACACCCCACTACAAACTTCTTGATAAGTCTCTGAGGGTGTTTCCAGACAAAATGAAATTAGAATGCAGTGGCAGAAGAGGCGGACTGTCATCACAGAACTTAGGCTGAGACAGGAGGAATTCCTTGACTTTGAAGCTAGGCTTGTTGGGAAGACCTGCCCTGACTGTGAGCAGCACTAACAAGTGTGGCCAGGATGGAAGCAGAGCGAGCAGCTAGCTCTAGGTAGTGCTCAAGCCATCTCAGGGTGTGACCACATCCCTCACACTGTTTCACCAATTCTTAATGTATTTATTTTGGCTTTTTGAGACAAGGGTTTCTCTGTAGATTTGTAGTCTGTCCTGGATCTCTGCAGCTGATCATCTTTTACAAATAATTTTTATGAGCCTGGCATGATGGCTCATGTCTTTAATCCCAACACTCAGGAGGCAGACAGAGGCAGGTGGATCTCTGTGAGTTGGAGACCAGCTTGGTCTACAAGAGCTAGTTCCAAAACACCAAAAATAAAAGTGTTACATCCATTTATTCTGCGGCATATTTGTTTAATGATGCAAAGATATGTTGCATTCTTTTTTTTCTTCCTTTTTAAATTTAGATATGTTGCATTCTTTTATGTTGCATTTGTTTAACTCTATAAAGCTGTGTTATGTTGCCTGTCTAAAACACCTGATTGGTCTAATAAAGAGCTGAACAGCCAATAGCTAGGCAGGAGAGAAACAGGTGGAACTGCCAGACAGAGAACAAGTAAGAGGAAAATCTATACTGGGGAAGAGAAGATAGAAGGAAGAGCAAGAAAAGGAAGATAGGACACTGGTGCCAGCCACCCAGCCCAGAGGCAAAACATAGAAGAGAAATTTAAGTTAGAAAAGCTGGCTAAAAACAAGCTAAGCTATGGCTAGGGGGTTCATAAGAAAAAATAAGTCTCCGAGTATTTATTTGGCAGCTGGGTGGTGGGCCCCCAAAGAATAAAAACCCAAACCAACCAAACAAAAACCAAACAACAAAAAAACCCAACTACAAAACCCTGTCTGGAAAACAATGACAACTTTTTTATTTTATAGGTATGGGTATTTTGTATGCATGTATGTCTGCACCACTCATGTGCCTGGTGCTCTCAGAAGCCAGAAGGGGGCATGGATCTCTTGGAACTGAAATTACAGATGGTTGTGAGTTGTCATGTGGGTGCTGGGAATTGAACCTCGGTCCTAGAAGAGCTGCTAATGTTCTTACTAATGAGCCATCTCTCCAGCCACCTGTTCCCTGCTACTGATCTAAAGAGCCAATTTAATAAATCTCTTGTGATTACATATACCCTATTAGTTCTACTTCTCTAGAAAGCGCCAGCACAGATTAGCTGTAGTTGGCAAGGGATAAAACCTTCATACTTTTTATATGTGGATATCTAGTTCATGAACATATAAACTCTGACATACACAAAACCCTTTAGAGATAAGGAGTTCAAGTCCAAGAGGAATGGTATTTGAATGAAAATGGCCTCTGGACAGTCACAGGCACTACTAGGAAGTGTTGGAAGAAGTGTGTCAATGGGGGGTGGGCTCAAGCCAGGGCCCATGTCACTCTCTCTTCCTGCTGCCTGCCGATGCAGATATAGAACTCTCAGCTACCTCCCCAATACCACGTCTGCCTGTGTGTTGCCATGCTTCCTGCCATAATGGACTAAACCTCTGAACCTATATAAGCCAGCCCCAATTAAACGTTTTCCTTTAAATGAGTTTCCATGGTCATGGTGTTTCTTCATAACAATAAAACCCTAACTAAAATGAATGGCCTTTCTCCAATAACTCTGTAACTGGTCAATGGCTCTTTCACAGACATGGTCCCCCCCCCCTTATTTTTATATGGTTTTCCATTTTTACAGTTGCTACCAAATAACGGCTAACTTAATCTAACTGAGATTTCTCAAGATCATCTATGAAGATGAATTAGAGGAGGAACTTCGACGATACAGATGAACCCTGTTCTTGTTTTGTATTAAGACAGGCTGTGTAGCTCTGGCTGGCCTTTAAACTTGCAGAAATTTCCCTACCTTGGCCTCACCAGTGCTAGAATTACAGATATACCACCACTCCTAATCTCTTCTTTTTAAAAAATTACATTTAGTTATTTTGTGTACATGTGGGTGCTTGAATGCCATGGCACTCAGCTGGAGGTCAGAGGACAATTTGTGCAAGTTGCTTCTCTCTGTCCACCATGTGGGTCCTGGAGATTGAACTAGGGTCATCAGACATGGCAGCAGATACATATACTCACTGACCCATCTAACATAATACCTCAGCAGAGACAGAATACCACACTGGAGCGGATGACACACAGCAAGTTGTTACCTCATATGCTTCTGCCAGCTGGGAAAACTTCTCCTTGGCTTTGGGATCATCCTTATTTGTGTCTGGATGATATTTCTTGGCAAGCTAAGGGGGGAAAAAAGTAAATCACTATAGATATAAAGCAGAATCCAAACACTTACAACAATAAAGCTTCCTTATAGCATTTGTCTCTCTTAAGACAGCAACAAATTCTGTCTTCTTTCTTTTTTTTTTTTCCTTTTTTTTTTTTTTTTTAAGTTTCTCAAGACAGCGTTTCACTATGTAGCTTTGAAGGCTGTCCTTGAACTAGCTCTTGTAGACCAGGCTGTTTTCAAACTTATAGAGCTCTGCCTGCCTCTGCCTCTTAAGTGCTGGGACTAAAGGCATGTGCCACCAACACCCAGTTTTTTTTTTTACTTTTTTGTTGTTGTTTTTTTTTTTTTTTTTTTTTGAGATAGGGTTTCTCTGTGTAGCTAGCCCTGGCTGTCCTAGAACTCACTTTGTAGACCAGGCTGGCCTTGAACTCAAGAGATCTGCCTGCCTTTGCTTTCTGAGTGCTGGGATTAAAGGCGTGCACCACCACCCAGCTGTGCAACTAATTCTTCAAACAAGATTTAAAATGTGAAAAATAAATAATCCCTTCACATATCTATATATTCTTCATCTACCAAAAATCTCTTCTAAAAATAGTTAACTAGGAGCTGGAGAGATGGCTCAGCAGTTAAAAACATTCAATATTCATTCAGAGGACTGGATTTGATTCCCATCACTCATGTAGCAGCTCACAAGTGTCTAATATTCCAGTTTCAAGGGATTTGATGGCCTCTTTTGATCTCAGAAGGCATCAAGCATGCATACAGTACACATACAAACAAGGTAAATACACATGCACACAAATTAAAAATAAACAAATCTTAAAAAAATAATCGGGCAGTGATTGTACACACCTTTAATCCTAGCACTCCAGAGGCAGAGGCAGATGTAACTCTGAGTTTGAGCCCAGCCTGGTTTACAGACCTAATTCCAGGACAGCCAGGGCAACACAGTGAAACCCTTTCTCAAAGAACAAACAAACAACAAAATCCAGCATTAACTGATACCACATTCATTGTGTACCAAAAGCAGCCAAAACTCCATCTTTCTCAGATAACTCTACAGGATTAGCAGCTTGGGACCTGCCTAAGTGGACTGTACACAAATCAATAGGGACCAGACAAGATCAACAGCAATCTGGACTGAAGAGAGGGCTCAGTGGCTAAGAGCACAAACTGCTTTTCCAAAAAAATCTGAATTCGTTTCTCAGAAATGTCAGATAGTTCACAGCTGCCTATAATTACAGTCCCAAGGAAATCCAATACCTCTGTTTGTTTGTTTGTTTGTTTGTTTGTTTTAAATACAAGGTTTCTCTGTGTGGCCCTGGCTGTCCTGAAACTCACTCTGTAGACCAGGCTGGTCTTGAACTCAAGAGATCTGCCTGCCTCTGCTTTCTGAGTGCTGGGATTAAAGGTGTGTGCCACCACCTCCTGGCAATCTATGTTCACTGTGAACATTTGCATTCTTGTGTACATGTCCCTACACAGACACAAACACACAATTTTAAAAGTTTAAAAAAAGGGCTGGTGACGGCTCAGAGGTTAAGAGCACTGGCTGCTCTTACAGAGGTCCTGAGTTCCCAGCAACTACATGGTGGCTCACAACCATCTATCGTGAGATCTGGTGCCCTCTTCTGGCCTGCAGGCATACAGGCAGATAGAGCAGTGTATATATACAAATAAATAAATCTTTTTTAAAAATTAAAATAAAATAGACACATACATATAAAAATCACCAGCAATCTTTCCATAGGCTTGTCAGTGAATCTGAGACCAACACAGACCTGATAATAGGCTTTTTTGATATCTTTCTGGCTGGCATTTCGGGGCACTCCTAATATCTGGTAATAATCATCTTTGGCCAAGGAAGCACTCGTGTGGAAGGAGGCAGTACAAACAAAAGGGAAACTTTTTGTTCCTGGAAATGAAAAGAGAAAGTTAGTTAGTCTAGGAATTGTTCAATAAGAGGAATTATAAATAAATGAACAGCTAAAAAATAACAGGTATAGGTTCTGTTCCCTTCTGAGCACACTACAGGCCAAACTCATGTACTTCAAATAAGGGCAAAGCTTGGGGATATAGTTCAGTAGTTACACTGCTACCCAGGCATGCACAGGGCCCTGAGTTTGATTCCAACACCAAATAAACTCAGCATAACTGTGCATAATGAACACATACTCAATAATCCTATCATTAGGGAAATGGAAGCAGATGGTCAGAAGTTCAATACATAGCTACATACAAGTTCTAGGTCAGCCTGGAATATATGACACCATTTCCAATTAAAAGCAACAATGATAACAACAAAAACCATAGATGGGTGGTGGTGGCAGCTGCAGCACACACCTTTCATGCCAGCACTCAGAAGGCATAGGCAGAAGACCTTTGAGTTTGAGGCCTGCCTGGTCTACAGGGGGAGTTCCAGGACAGCCAAAGCTACAGAGAAACACTGTATCAAAAAGCAGTCCCCTAAAAAAGTAAACATAAACAGCTGGAGAAGTTGAGCATATGTAGAAAGAAGTTAAAGAATAAAAAAAAAAAAAAAAAAAAGAGAATGAACAGAAAGGATCAGAATAAGATAAAAAGGAGTTATTGCTGTTTCTTCAGTCAGAATGGAGAAGACATTAGAACTGCATCCTTAGTGATCCCATATTCAACCTCCTCTTTACTTGATACCTGCCTGACTGGTTAACCCCTCCTTACTCCTTCTATTGCCCAAGTCTATTGGTGGCAAAAATTTGGCATCTGCAGCAATTTCGATAACATAAACGAAACTGTAGATAACCATGGATAACTATTACAAGATGAATGCCTAAACCCATCAATGAGTAACAATAGTAGCAAAAATTTATTAAACTGTTTGTTTTTTGTTGTTTTATCCAAAGTATGTCCAGTAAATGTCTTGCTTTTTTTGAACCCAGGATTGTTCTTTACATTATTTCAAGAATACCCAATGTAGTGGCAAGTTATTGTTTTCTTCTGCTTGGGAGACTTTTATGTCATAAACCATTCTTGAGAAATGATCACAGACTTAAGTTTGGGAACAAAATTGATGACCTTAGATGTGGCATCAGGATATACAATGAAGAATGTCCATTGTAGCTGACATAGGTGGCATAACACAGTATATGAAAATAACATGAAGCTGGGTGGTGGTACACATCTTTAATCCTAGCACTCAGGAGGCAGAGGCAGGTGGATCTCTGTCAGTTCAAGGTCAGCCTGGTATAGAGAGTGAGTACCAAGGTAGCCAAGGCTACACAGAGAAGCCCTGCCTCGAAAAACAAACAAACAAACAAAATAACATGAAGAATGGAGAGATAGCTTAACAGTTAAGATCACATACTGCTCTTATAGAGAACACAAGTTTAGTTCCTAGCTCCTAAGAATAGCAGTTATAACTGCCTGTAACTCCAGGGGAATCAGATGACTCTGGTCTCTTTGGGCACCTGTACTCAAGAGCACATACCCACACAGACACACATATACATTAACTCCCAAACAACTTCAAAAATATTTAAGCCAGGCAGTGGTGGTGTACACCTTTAATTCCAGCACTAAGGAGGCAGAGGCAGATGATCCCTGTGAGTTCCAGGCCAGCCTGGTCTACAGAGCTACTGAGAAACCCTGTCTCAAAAGAAAAAAAAAAAAATGTTCTTAAGACAAAAATTGATCTGTTTATGATGGCTAAAGCATTTCAAAGCTTAATGCACACTGATTTGGTGTTACCTCCAACAATAAGGAAGGCGAGTGGCATGCCAAGACTACTACTTTCTCAATTTGTAACTTTTTCAAGTTATTTAACATCTAAACCTGTTTCTTCATAAAATGGAAGGGTAACAATGCCTGCCACATGAAATATTCTGAGAAGTCATACTTCATACACAGTAATTATTCAATAAATGTTAAACTGCATTATTACAGTCACTGACTTAAGGAACTTAAAAAAGACTGGTTATATTCTCCAGCTAGAGATGCAAATTGTGAAATGACAGTTAATCAAGCTTTTTGACCTTAATGAGGCCAAGCACCTACATCTCCTAGTACCCAGCACTCACTGAATGGCAGTTGCCTCTTCCATTACAAGGTAGAAAGTGCAGAAAAAGCGAAGGAATAAGGCAAGGGAGCAGCGGCCTGGACAGAGAGGTGAACTGTTGACAGAGGTGAAGGTTCACGGCCTTCTGAGCGTTTCACCACTCCGGCTCCACGCAGCTCTTTCCCTTCGACGGCTTCTGGGTAGCCAGCACCTTGGCCTCTCTGTCTCCTGCTTGCCTGTATCCCCAGCAATTCCTCTTTCGATCGGGAAGACACCTCCATCCCGCTACCTTGGTCGTCAGAGCGAGGCGAGTCGCTCTTTCTAGTCCCAGGAGCCGCTACTCGAGATCTGGAAGCCTCCCTCACCTGTGTGACGGACACCCGGTCTCAATGTCAGCAGCGCCCGGGGGCCGTGAGCGCCCAACGAAAGCCCGAAGGCAGAGACGCTCAGCTTGCGACCCAACGATGTTGCCAGTACGCCCCACTGGGGCTGCTTGGCCCCTCTCCCCGCTGCAGCCGGCAGCCGGGGGGTCCCCACCGCCACTAGCAACCAGCGTGGGGAACACCGCGCAGCCATCTTGGCCCGGGGACACTGCGCCTGCGCGGACCGTCCCTACCCGGCTTCTCCGGTCGCGTCTTCCGGAGGCGAGGCACTCGTAGCGCGCAGGGAGTGATCTGAGTCCGCGCTGCCGGTTCCTAGAGTTGTACTCGAGTATAAGTGCTTTGCCCTGGAGATGTCATCGTGTATAGTTTCCCTGTATTGGAATTTCTGTGATGTACGATTGAATACTGCACTTTACTTGTGAGTGATGTGGCTGCATATAATAATTGTAATCTTGCTGCGAACCTTTCCTTCTGAGGAACTACAAATCCCAGAGGACCACGCGGCGTCAGGCTCGCAGATTCCGGCATGCAATTTGGAGCTGCCTTCCCTTGACCCTTAAAATTACATCGTATTGCATGTTCTCTCAGAAAGCCTTCACCCCCGTTGTCTGTTGCAGTTTTTCTGTGTCTGATTCCCTCGCAACAGAACTTGAAGCATTCAGCTCCGTCTTATAAGTATGTTAGCCTTCTCCAACGCTGCAGCAAGAATTTAATTAGTAAAATGCTTGTTATATATCACGCATTTAATGTTTGTCATCCATGTTCTAGAATATAATGTAAGAGCAGACCCGTTCTAGAGGAGCAAACTCACTTAAGAGGGACCAATTTCCTCCCCCCCCCCATTCCCCCTCCACAGGGTTTTTCTGTATTGTTTTTGAGCCTGTCCTGGAACTCGCTCTGTAAACTAGGCTGGCCTTGAACTCCCATAGATCCTTCTGCCTCTGCAGTGCTGGAATTAAAGGCGTGCACCACCAACACCCAGCTTCTTTTTTTTTTTTTTTAAGGTGTATTTATTATGTATACAGTATTCTGCTTGCATGCATGCCTGTAGGCCAGAAGAGAGTGCCAGATCTTATTACAGATGGTTGTGAGCCATCATGTGGTTGCTGGGAATTGACTCAGGACCTCTGGAAGAGCAGTTAGTGCTCTTAACCTCTGAGCCATCTCTGCAGCTGAGGGACGGACCTCTTATGATGTAACACTGATAAGTGCTACCAAAGAAACACAGTTATGAGCATATCGTGCCCTCAGTCTGTTTCTCAAACATGTAGGGCAAACAATGGGGAAGGGACTGGACTGTTAAAGTTTCTGAGGCATAATGTCCATAGTTGGACTTTGATGAAAGGTACATCAAGTACAGATGGAGTATTCCAAGTGACAAGAATGTCAAAAGATGTCAGTCATGGTAGCACACACCTGTAATACTATCATTTGGGAGATGGAGGTAGAAGGATCAAGAAGAGTTCAAGATAATTTTCAGCTATGTAGCAAATTTGAGACAGTCTGGGCTACAGCAGACAGTATCTCAGAAAATAAAGGAGAAAATTGTTAGGTCCAAAGTAGACTCCAATTCCCCAAACTCCAAAAGGTAGTGCAAAAAAGGGGGGGGGGTTGTTGCTCAGCCTGGACTATAGAGCATTTCTGGTGGTTAGATAAAAGCCAGCAAGCCTGGTAGTGGTGGTGGCACACACCTACAATCCCAATGCTCAGGCAGATCTCTGAGTTTAAAGTCAGCCTGGTCAACAGAGCAAGTTCCAGGACGGCCAGGACCACACAGAAAAACACTACCTTGATAACAAAATAAAAATAAAGTTAAAAACCACCAACCAAGCAAAGAATGGTCATGAAGCTATTTGAAATAAAGGACAGTTGGAGAGTTTGTGTTAGACAGTGGAAATCAATGATATGAGCAAAGAACATTTTAGTGAAACAAGGAAAAAAGTGCAGGGAGTAAGAGGTGGGGGAAAGAGTTTGTATAACGCACTCCGTAACAAATGTATTTGAAAATGTCTCCAGAACAGTGATTAAAAATAGAAGCTTGCACTGGGCATTGGTGGCCCATACCTTTAATCCTAGCACTTGGGAGGCAGAGGGAGATCTCTATGAGTTTAAGGCCAGCCTAGTCTACAGAGCTAGTTTCAGCACAAGCTCCAAAGCAATACAGAGAAACCCTGTCTCGAAAAACCAATATATATAACATACATACTGCCTGGACAGTGATGGTGCAAACCTTTAATTGAAGCACTTGGTAGGTAGAGGCAAGCTGATCTCTGTGAGTTCGAGGCCAGCCAAGTCTACAGAACTAGTTCCAGGACAGCCAGGGCTGTGAAGAGAAATCCTGTCTTAAAAACAAAAAATTGCTCTTGGAGTCAGCCTGTTCAAATCTCAGTTCAGCTGTATGTCCGATGGCAACTTCATCTATCCTTACATTGCCCAGGCTAGTCTCAAACTTGTGGACTCAAGCAATTCTCTCACCTACCCTTGAAAATTGCTTAGACTACAGATGTGTATCGCTGAGCCCAGCAAGAATTACTTTTGTTTGAGCTAGAAGGGTGGATCAGCAATTAAGAGCTCTTGCTGTTATTTCAGAGGACCTGAGTTTGATTCCTGTATCGGGCAGCTCTTGCCGACCTGTAACCTAGTTCCAAGAGTTGCAATGCCCTCTTCTGACCTCTACAGGCACCTTCACACATGTATTGTAGGCAGGAATATACACATGAATAAAAGTAAATGGTTTAGCAGTTAAAAAGCACTTGTTCTTGGGGTCTATTGAGGTGCCTCAGAGGTTAAGAGCACTGGCTGCTTTTCCTGAGGTTTTGAGTTTAATTCCCAGCAACCACATGATGGCTTACAACCATCTATAATGATATCTGGCGCCCTCTTCTTCTGTGAAGGCATTGGATACATGCAGGAGAAACACTATATACTAAATAAATAAATAAATTGAAAGCACTTGTTCTAGCAGAAGACCCAGGTTTGATTTTCAGACCCACATGGCAGCTCATGACTGTCCATAACTCCATTTCCAGAGAATCCAACAATTCTAACTCAGATTCTCATATTTGCAGATCAAGCACACAATTACCCACTGAACCATCTTCCCAGCCCTGTCTCCTCCCCCCCCCCCTTTTTTTTCAGCGCTCACGTGGAGTTTATTGAGAGGAGAGAAAAAGGGGGTAGCTGGTGGCCAACCGAAAGCAGGAGAGAGAGAGAGGGAACAGAGAGAGACCAAAGAGAGAGAGCAGAGAGAGCAGAGAGAGCAGAGAGAGAAGCACTTGGCGCGCTTGCTTTAAAAGAGGCTTGCGCATGCGTAACTGAGTCCTCTGGCCGCCAGGTAAAGCTGACGTAGTGATGATGCGGCCATGAGTGTCCCACGTGGGACGGGGGTCAGCTGGCTGCTAGTTCCTAACATTCCCACCTCTTATTGTTATTAAAAAGGTCCCCCACTTTTTTAAAAAATAGGCTTTTTTGATGTGGGGCTTGCTTAGTAATTTAGGTTGTCTTGCAACTCACTTTGTAGCCCAAGTTGGCCTCAAACTTGGCAGTGGTGCCACACATCTATAATCACAGCCCTCAGGAGGCAGAAGCAGGCAGATTTCTTGAGTTCCAGGCCAGCCTGGTCTACAAAACTAGTTCCAGTACAGTTAGGGCTACACAGAAACCTCAACTCGAAAGAGAGACAGAGAGAGAGAGAGAGATTGATTCTCAGTAGTAGTCCTTATCTCTTCAGTCTGCCTATTCCGTTTATCTGTAAATGACTTTAGTTGCTACAAACTTTTTTTTTCTTCCCTCAAGACAGGGTTTCCCTGTGTAGTTTTGGAGTCTACCATGGAACTAGCTCTTGTAGGCCAGGCTGGTCTCGAACTCACAGAGATCTGCCTCCGTCTCCCAAGTGCTGGGACTAAAGGAATGTGTCACCACTGCCCGGCTGCTGCAAACTCTTGACCCAACATGTGAAAGGCCTGATGTGACAAAATCTGCCTTCTTCCTTTTTTTTTTTTTTTTTTTTTTTCTTTTCTTTTTTTTCCCCTTTTCTTTTTTGGTTTTTCGAGGCAGGGTTTCTCTGTATTGTTCTGAAGCTGTCCAGGCTGCCCTTGAACTCATCGAGATCCCTGCCTTTAATTTGCGTGTCATCCTTGCGCAGGGGCCATGTTAATCTTCTCTGTATCGTTCCAATTTTAGTATATGTGCTGCCTAAGCAAGCACCAAACTCTGCCTTCTTGATTCTGCTCCACCATTAACACGGTTGTGGGACCAGCTGCTTTAAAAGTTAATTCTGTCTTGCTATTTGAGGACATAGATAGTGGAACAGAGTGAAACGCCTCAAGGACGAGTACTGCAAGTCTAACGCCAGGGCAGTTGAAGAGTGGTCTTTTAAAAGGGAGGACTTGCTGAGGCTCACATGACCTCCTACTAGTTCTGTGGTCCCTCAGGCATCAGGGCGTGATTTCTCCAGGCCTCCTGGCAGCTATTGGCTGAGAGGTGGGGCTGGCAGCAGTTGCACGGAAGAAGGGAGATGTAGGGGCGTGCCCAGATGGGCCGCAGGCGCTTCCGACTGGTTGGCAGCATGTCGGGGCGTGTCCCCCATAGACTGCGGGCGGGTGGGGTTGCAGGCTGTGGGAATCTAGCGTAGCTTCCTATCGTGCACCTGAGAGCTGACGCCCCTAGTCGACTAGGCTGCACTCGCTCTGCCCCAGCCACCATGAACCGCTTCAAGGTGTCCAAGTTTCGGCACATGGAGGCCCGGCCGTCCCGCCGAGAGGTGAGCCCGGCCCGCGGACCCCGCTTCCTTACTTCTGGTCCCAGATGACTTCCATCCTCCTGTGCGAGCCGGCGCACTGTACACCCTGGGCTGCGAAGACCCTCTACGCCACCCCGCCCTGAGCTTTCCACCCGGAACAGCTCTCTTCAGCCGAGCCCCAGAGTCCAGGCCACCCTTTCACTGCCTAGGGGACAGAGTCCGGAGCTCTAGTGACGCGCCCTGGCCGTGGGTGAGCCCGGTAGGCCTGGCCTGTTTGCCTTGCCCTGGGACCCCCAGGAGGCCTCTCAGCCCTCCCAGCTGCGTCCAGGCCTCTGCTTCCGGTCGGCCTTGCTGGTAGTCAGACTGGGAAACTGCAGACGTGGGGCTTCTCCTTACTCCTGTCTAGGATCGGCCCTGCCTAGGGCCGGGCAGTGTAGAGATGCACCTCTTTCTTGTGGTCTCAGTGAGATGAGGGAGCCCTCTGGGGA